ACAATCAGTAAATGGCATAGTCTAACTCAGCTATTCTTTTTAAGCACTTCTATTTATTGTTCAATTTTTAAAAAGCATTTATAATCATTTTTCTTTGGTATTATTCATAGTAAAACTGTGAATTAGGTCAATATTAAATTCTCAAGATTCTGAGCTTCTCAGAGACTTCATGTAATTAAATATTTTATTGCTCCAAGGAATTAAAAATTGACAATGTCACTTCATGAGGTCACTCTAAGTAATGGAACATTCCAAAGGACTATAAAGATAGCACTGATTGAACAGAACAGTACTATGAGGTTTACCTGATGGCATGGAGGCAGAACAATTGTTGATCCAAAACGAGACTCTGGAGCACTCTACATATGGGTTTAGATTGCATAAAAATCCCTGAAGCAAAATTCCACATTGATCTCCTCACAGTTAAAATGATTCAGCTTCCCTATACCAGCCTTAAAATCAAATTTCCCACTAAATAAGAGGTTTTTCTTCATGTGTTTTGAATCTAATTCAACATACATTCTTTGGACCATGATCCTTTTGTCATGTTACTTAATCACTATTAATTATCCTGATATTAAAATACCCTGCACTAAGGCCTCCAGAATATCTTCTTCTTCCTTATAAAAATATCTTATTCTTATGGATGCCTTTATTTTCTTCTTTACATATTTTTTCTTCACAGAGGCCATTTATGCTAGCTTTTCCTAGTGGGCTGATACTCTGTAGGATGATATATTTTGACTATCTCCTCAGTCTATTCTCTTGACAGGTGATCTTATCCACATCTTTTTGCACCACTTTTGCTCTGAAACCTTTTGAATGTCTGCCTTGCCAATGCATATCATCCTCCTGAGCTGATACAAATATCCACAATGCCTATTATACATATTCAGTAGGTATTGCATGTTGGGGTTTACATATCAAAACCTGTTTCTTCAAGTGCTTCTCATTCAGCATATTGGTAAATGGAATCATCATCGACTTAGGAAACCAGGCCAAAAATCCTGGAGTCTGGCTGGGGATACAGCTCAGTGGTACAAGCACCTGCCTGGCAAGCGCAAGGTGCTGAGTTTGATTCCAGGTACCAAAAAAACACAAAAATCCTGGAGTCATTCTAGAATGTTTGAAGCCTCGCTTTCCACATGGAAAAAACCTTCTGTATTTTTTTAGAATATTTATCGGGGACTACAATGTACCAGATTTTAATCCAGGTGCCAGGTGTACTACATTAGGAAAGGTAAACTTTATCACACTCTTAGAATCTGCATTCTAATTGGATATAGAAAAGTAAAGAGGCTATTTATGCTATAGTTTGTGGGAAAGGCATTCCTAGGTTTTGACAATATCTAATCTATAGAGCTATGAATCATGGCTCTGCAAATAGAATGTCAAAAGAAAAGTAATATGTTAATTCTTTTAAACCATGTATCAACTTTCAATCCTCATTTCCATTTACTTTATGGCAATTGTCCTTATTTTTCCTTCTGGGTTGCCACAGTAGCTCTATAAATAACTTTCCATCTCTCCTCCCTAATTCCTATCTTATTCATCCACTCCAGTGTGGCCAGAATACTTTACCTAAATTTCAAGATAACTGCAATCTTACCATGCTTAACGCTTTCTGTTGAATAGAATCTAAAGCCTTAAAATGGCCCAAAGCTTTTATTTTTTTAAAGAAAAATTTTTAAAAAAGAGCAATAGCAAAATACCAACAACATAGATGAAAACAAACAAAGCAAAAACAATAAAAATGATACAGGGTTTCAGAACAAAATGATAGGAATTAACAGTTGTTGTTATACTACACATTGTTATCTTCCAGGCAGTTGCTCAGATTACCAGATGTAAGTATGCAAGATTGATCAACCCATTACAGAGAATAAAAAATAAAAACAAACAAAAAAAAAAATTAGAAACCATGCAGAGTTTCACTAGACAAGCTGGTAGGAATTCAGCAATGGTTGTTACACTGTATACCCAAAGCTTTTATTAATGGAGCTTCCTCTCTGTGTTTCATTCTTCCACACATCTTCTCTGATGTGGCCGTTCTAAGTTCCTTGCCGCTCTCCATTTCAAGCAGGATTCTCATGGATGTATGCCTCTAACTATGCTTGGTTCTCCACTATAAGCAGTCCTTTCAATCAGAATATCTTATGCTTGGTTCTTTTTTTGCCGGGGGTTGGTCCTGGGAATCGAACTCACGACCGTGTGCTTGCCAGGCAGGCACTTATGCCACTGAGTTATATCCCCGGCCCCAGAATAGCTTATGCTTGATCTTAGACACTCATTTCTGGCAACAGTCTCTTTCTAAGAATCACTGTAGTCAGTTTAGTGTCCAGTTCGGTTCTCCCATTTCATCTTGTCCACATTCCCATCATATCACTGACAGAATCAGACTATAATCATAAATTTGTCTCTCTTTTCTGCTACAGCTTTTGAGCAGTAGGGATCCTTTTTTGTTTTCTTGATTACATAATTTTGATTTCTGTAATAGTGCCTTACATGTGGGAAGCTACAGTAAATATTTAGGGACTAAATTAATTGGTGACAAATAACTTATCTTACTTAATAAGGAGATTTTTCCTCAAATGCCATGTTATGAAGTCATACTCAGCTCAAGGTAAAAAAATATTTCCCTAAACTGAGACCAAATCTCTTCTCTATCTGCATGAAAGACCCTTCAAAGTATCTAGTAAGAGACTTCCTGTGAGGAAAAATGGTTCTTTCATTTTCTTCAAATTTAAGAGTCCTTCTAGAAGTATATTTTGACTGCTACTTCAAAAGAAATAGTGTTTTCTCACTTGTACTTAGTGTTTTAACATAAAAACTAATATTTGTCTGTATTTGCAGTAGAAATTTTCCACATATATACTTTCTCTTTCCCGAGACAATATATAAAGATTCTTATAAAAAAGGTCGCTATTCTTATAAAAAGGGTCGCAATTTATTTGTTACCTTCTCTGCTGCTGAAAGTGTGCCTGGTATCTTTCTAATTATAAATTTAAGGTGTACAAAATTATGTTTAACATATATATATATATATATTCACAGTTAAATGAATAGAATAGGAAAGTAATTTCACATCCATCACATTCCACATAGCCACCAATTTATGTGTGTGAGTACCTAAAATCTACTCTCAGCATATTTTTAGTATGACACAATATTAGTAACTATATTCCCACTACTATACACCTTAATATATCACCAGACTAATTTATCTTACATAACTGTCAGATATTTACCATACCCTGTGTGAAGAATGAGTAAAAATAGTCTTTTTGATTCTGCTCCCAGTATGCTGCTAAACTGTTCTCACAATTCAATTATTTTCTATCTTTCTCCCATTTGATTTCTCAGTCTGCCCTTCAGAGCCGAGCCCTCACTCCTTGGAAGGTAGACTGCTTAGTTTCAACACAGAGAACCTTTCTGATGCTTCGGCCTCTCTGGCATTTCCTCAGTTGTTTAGTTATTGGTTTAAACAAAACATTAAACAATTCTTGCCTTGAAGGTATCTCCTTTCCTCTAGGCTCATTTCTCCTTTAATCCCTCTCATGTGGTCCAAATCTCTTGTATTTTCATAACTCCATAATAACAGAAGCATAAAAGTAATTTCATTTCAATAATACGTGTAAGAATGTTTTGATGAGCACAGTTCCTACAGTAACACTGAACACAAGGAGGAAAAAGAAAAGAACAAACCATTGGATAATTTTAGAGGAACTAATTTATCCAACACATGGCATTAAATGGATGGCTTATGATTATATAATCCTTGTAGAGACAGGGTAATGTAGAGAATAGGAAAACATAACTGTTATTTTGTTCTGTAAACTGTATGCAGTGATTCAGATCATGTCAGCAAATATAAAATCATTCATGCTTGTGTGATCTGGCTTTAACTCACAGAAGAGGGTATTTGTGCATTTACCACAGCAGAAGTTGTAGCTGCCTCCCTTAGGCAAAAGAGCTTAAGTGTCTGCTAATGTCGACTGGCTTGCTTAAAAGAGGATAAAAACGACAAACCCTCAGGCAAGAAGACAATTTAAATTGAGTCAATTTTGGAAGCACAGGGCCTCAGCAAACTCTGAAATTAATCCAGATTAAGACATTTCACTTTTAGGATCTATGTCAGACACCAGTTCTACAGCTTTATCTTAGAGGTTGGCGTGTGTTCCAAAGGATACCTTCAAAACTTGCAGCGCTAAATCACCAGGATGTCCAGTTTTTTAAAAAAATGAAGTAGCTGGGATTGAAAGGGTTGTCATTTCCTCTAATAGGAAATTCTAGAAATTTAGGTATGTCTAAAACATATTTTTGTCTTTTTAAGTTTATGGAAATTTATAGTTATGGAAATTATGTTTAATCGAAAAATTTCATCCAAGCCACAAAGGGTCCAATAAGTAAGTTATTTGCTGAAGGCCCCAAATCTCTAAAGCCAACTGGAGAATTTAATTGAAACTTTATTGTTACTTACACCTATTTGATCTAAAGACACAAGATAGTGATCTTTTCAATCTTCAAAATTTTACTAAAACTTTCACCATTGGGCTCCACGAATTCTCAGACAGATCCATAAATAGATTATATAAATGAAACATATTAAATCAAGCCCTTCCATGCATAAATCAGTCAAAACCTTGAAGACATAATCCATATTGCTCACTGTTACTTCTGTAATTATATTTTAATGGACACACAATAAATGAGTGTAAGTTTCTGGAGCATATCACTGGGATTTGTTTTAAATATTTTTGTTGGGAAATAAACTTCATGTTTTTGGATCCCTTTCATGTAGAAATATTTTATATAGAAATATTTTGGGGGCTGGAGGTATAGCTCAGTAGCAGCACCTGCCTGACAAGCACAAGGTCCTGAGTTTGATTCGTGGTACAAAAAAAAATAAATAAATAAATAAATAAAAAAGTTTCACATAGAAATATTTCATGTGATCTTCATGATTCAGAAATTCTTTGAAAATTGTACCATAATCTTACCTTGCTTCCATTTTCTCTGGTCTCTCGTTCCATCTTGAGGTCAGAGATTAGAATATTCTTGTATTTGTTTTTCCCATTGCTGCTGTGGTCATCTATTCTGTATTCCGAAGTCAGCTGCGCAGAGAGGGGACTGTCACTCAGGTTCAGTGGCTGTTCCTCTTGCTCTAGCCCCGCTTTGCCATCACTGTTGGCGTCTCCCATCTCCCTGCTGTGTGCTCCCCCTGAAGCAACTGAACCCTGCCCCAGGGTCTCATTGCCATTAAAGCTCTCCGCAGCAGAGTCATCTGTTGGGAAGAAAAATTCATATTCTGATTTTAATGAACATATTGCTCATTTTCTATTTTACCTAGCACTTACTGAGCATCTATTATGTGTGTGGTATCGTGCTAACAAATGTCATACATAAGGTGTAAAGAATGTGAGGCCACTATTGTTATTTTTAATGTAGTGGCTGCATGAAAGAACAAGCAGTGAAACAAAATAATATGAAGAAGATAAACATTTCAATGTCAAATACAGTCTCAAAGTAAATTCAACAAAGAATAAGCAATCATTAATTACTTAGGAAGTAAATTTTATTTTTCAGTGAGAATGTCCAGATTCGGTAGAAATTCCCTAGGAAATTGCATCTTCTATCCTGTTTAATGGAGATATACATTGATAAAATTTATGAGTGTTTAACAGGCATCTAATACATTAACAATAAGGTTTCCTTCAGTCATTATATTTCTTGGACTTTAAGCCTATGAAGTTTAATTATTGTGTATATCACTGTGTAGATGAAAATATATTTAAGCCAGTGTTGATCTGAGTGAAAAAAAGTTGCAATTGACATAAATAAAAATAGAAGACTAGGTTAGTAAATGTTGGAATAGTTAGAATACTGTTGTAGTTATTCAGCACTTCATTTAAGGTACAGAAAAATAGGAGGCATGAAAGTAAAAGAATGGAGAAAATTAGCTTCTGTGTCTAATACAATATCTATTTTGTAAGAAGAAAATAGGCAAATTTTACATACAATTATAATACTCTATCTTTCAGCCAGACATGGTGATGCATGCCTGTATCGCCACACCCTGGAGGCTGAGGTAGAAAGATTTCCATCCGTCGGAGGCCAGCCTAGGCTACACAGTAAGCCCAAGCAAGCTTAGACTACATAGAGAAACCCTGTCTCAAAAAAAGTATTCCACTTTTCTTAATTTCATCTTTACTTATATAAGAATTTTTTACTAATTATAATGGACCAAATTATTGAATGATTAAAGACTATTAATGAAGCCATAGGAATGTATGCAAACAAATAATAATATTTAACATGTGGTTTTCTTAGTTTTATTTCTGAATACTATGAAGTATGAATTTTGGGTGGATGAAATACTTAATATCTTATATTCAGGGAAATATTTAATTTTTAAAGGAGTTATATGTCTCCTGTTTATATAATTCTTCAACAAACATTAAGTTCCTACCTTGTGACCGATATGCAGTTAAATATTTGGCTTAGAGAGAGTGTCTTCCATGAGTTAGCTCATAGATAATTAAAAGAGACAGAAAAACAAACATGCAACTAAAGTGCAGAGTGAAGAGGCTATGATCCAGTACAAGGATAAAGATATCACTGGAGACCTCCTAAAGAAGAGCTGGGAACTGAATTGTGAAAGACCTAAGCCTTTGCCAGGTGGGGAAGTTGGAGGACAGCATTCTCTTCAGAGGGATTCAAGAGCAAAATCTAAGATGAAGGGCTACACAGGGACCATGAGAAGTAAGATTGCTGCCTTCAGCACCAAAGAGGGGGAAAAAAAGACAAACCTCAAAAGAGAAGAAGAGAATATCCCAGGAAAGGTTCTGTATATCAAAAAGCTTAGAGTTGACTTTAAGAGCAAATAAGCAATTTTAGTTAATTGTGGGAAGTGACTTGGAAAAATCACATTTGAAATAGATTATTTCTGACTCTGATGAGGAAGGTGGTATAACGGGGACAAAGTGGACATTGGAAGGATCAATGAGAAGATCCAGATGTCTCATAAGCTGGCATCTTCAAAATTCAAACTGAGAGAGTGGTGGCACAGGAAGGGACAACCAGAGATGCTATAGGAATAGAACAAGTGCTGGAAACAGGAGAGGCGATGGTCCAGCACGAAGCCCAGGCTCTTACAGGGACACAAAGTGAATCAACTAATTTTCAGTAAACTTTTAAATCACATATTCAAAGCTTGTACAAAAGTTAAAACATATCAAAATGGTATAATTCTGTTAAACTTGATGTACCCATTCAAGAGACGAGTTCATAGACAGAGAAAACACACAAAGGAAGTTTTAGGAAACTGGCCATAAATATGGCATAGCGGTTTCCACTGTCATTCATTTCAGAAATCAAAACTAATCTTTTAGCCACGCATGCTGGCACAGATTTGTAATCCCATTACTCAGGGCGGCTGAGACAGGAGGAACATAAGGTCAAGGCCACCCTGGGAAACTGAGCTGTATAGTGAGAGCTTGTCTCAAAATTAAAAAAATTAAGAAGGGCCAGCTGGAGATGTAGCTCAGTATGAAGGTCTTGGGCTTAATTTCCCGTAAGGGGTGGACGAGGAAGCGTTGACAATGAAGTGCACAGGGATTTGGAAATACAGAATTAGGGGAATGATTTAGATAGATAATTTGGAAACTGCATACTCTATTATTCTACTTGAAGTCCTTGTATTAACATCTGACAAGTTATTTCCAATTTTTAAATTATTCTTTTCTGAGAAAATCTAAGGAAAAAGCACAATGGGCATAATCAAAGATAATTCATGAAGGAAAATATTTAAAACATGTATCAGAATTCTCTTAAAATACTAAACATTTAATGTAAGAAAGCTTCATCAAAATAGAGTAAGTAACACTAAATATATGTACCTAAAAGATTTTAAAACCAAATATACATTAACTTGAAACAAATTCAATTTCTCTTATGGTTAAAAATCAAACATGCTGTATCTAGTCTTTTAATGAAATCACTAGGTATATCTATATAATAAATATGATATCATTTATCCATTTTAGGTAAGATAAATATCACTTATCAAGAGAAGTTTTTATAAATGTCATTTAATTATATACTGGCATAAAATGTAAACAATAAAAGAAAAATAATTTTAGCTTCACTGCAGATGTTACCAAGGTAATGAAATTCAACAGCTTTACATATTTCATTCCTGAGAAAATCAGTACATTTTTTTAAAAAAACTGAGTGACTTATATTTGTTTGTATTGAATACATATTCACTTATTTTGTTAATGAACTAGTAAAAAAAAAGCCTCATGCTACTGTTTTATAAATGAAAAACTTTAAACCATATTTTTGTTGTTTTTATTTTAAAAATCCAACATAGAGCAGCAAGTGAAAATTGCATAGATAATAAATTAACACTTTTACGTTGGCTACTTTCATGTCATCATGTTGGTGATTTTTTTCTTTTTCTTAAAGATACTCTTTTGATTTGTTTCCTTCAGAATTTAAAATCACAGACTTCAGACTCCTTTTTATCACCCCCGATTTTCATTGATTCACTGTTCCAAAGGGGCAGTCTGCTTCCTTACCCAACACAGATTGATCCATTCCGAGTGGACCCTCCTTGTGGGCACCAGGCTGCTACCCAGAACCCGTGTTTAGGTCTGTGGGGAAGGCCTTTGCGTTCACAGGCCCAGGGAGATGATTCTCTCCAGAATTCAGCCTGGCTACTATAGCATTTGAACCAAAGACTCTATCTGTATTTGAGTCCCAAAGAAAAAGAGCACCTGGAACTTGAGAAAATAAGAGTGCTTGGGGTACCTAGCAACAGAGGAGAATGAGGAGTGGTAGACAGGGCGGTGTGGAATGTAGTGACATCAGGAGGGCAGCGGGGTGTTTAGACTTTTTGTTTTTTAATTTATTCGGAGGATAGTACTGATGGGGTGGAATGAGCGCTGTAGTGACTTATGTTAAATTAGCTCCAGCGAGGCTCTTGTTTACAAGGTCTAGTAACACTCAAAATAAGAGACAGACTGTTCAAGACAGTAGAACAGCCATGTTAACTATCCTTCATATACATACATACAAACTTTCTCCTTCTTTCCCTTCTCTTCTACTGTCTTGTATTTCTTTGCTGAAAGAAACTGTCAGAGTCCTTCTATATCTGTTTTCATGAGAAACCACTTTGAAGATATCAATATGTAATACCACAAGCATTGTTAATTCCCTACCACTTTGTTTGTAACTCCGTACTGTCTGTACTATTCCTTTGCTATTTTGTAAAGTGTTGTCTGTCTGTTAATATTTTCCTCCTTTTATTTTTAAAATAAAAAAAAGAGACAGACTGTTCATTTTATTCTTTTTCTTTCTCATTTCTCCTCATTTCCCCTATCAATTAATAGAGATCCTGGAAATGCTATGGTTAAGGTACTTGGAGCATTCTCACCAGTGCTTTGCACAAAGACAGATTTAATAGCATCAGATTCAATGGTTAGGTGTCTATATGGGGAATTAGTCTATAGGAGTATCCACAGAGGGTGTGTGTGTGTGTGTGTGTGTGATCTCCCAAAACACCTGACCCACTTTTTCTTTCAGTTACTTTCAGTACCTCACCTTCCTCTTCATTTTGGCCTTTAGGACCAGTGCCTTGGGCAAAATGGATAGGAAAAAATATCATTCCCATTTTAAGATTATTACTTGGAACTTTTGTTTTAACATCCATGTCAGATGCTCATAAGATCCACAAGTACTGTAATGTTTTTCCCAAATGCACAATAGTCCTTTACCACTACTCCTTTGATGAGCCCTTAAGAAACTGATTCCCAAAAGATGAGGATGGTAATATCTGAAAATGTAAAAAGAGGTTGAAGTTTTCTTTAAAACAAAGAATTTGGGTGCAATTCCCCTGTAGGCTTTCTGATCTCTGCTCTATGTCTTTGCCCAAAAACAATGTCTGCTATAGAAAGTGATGCTTGTCCATGACTAGACCACATCTTACAACTTACACTCTAGCTCCCTCTGCTTTACAGCACGGACAGCTGATACTGTCCACGCCAGACCTTCTGAGTGCTTCCCAGCAAGACACCGCCTGCAGCCCCACGCCCCAACTCATTTCTGTCATTTCTGATCTGTATTACGACCGGGAAGTATTTTCCTCATCTCCCTTCTTCAAACCTTTGTGATGACATGTCCATTCCTTGACTTTCTGTTTTACTTATCATGTGTAATATGGTTTTAAACAGTTGTATAGCTTTGTTCTCTATATTATCTTTTGTTATTTCACATACAGAA